CAGAACCCTCAAACTCCCAGGCCTCTGGTAGAGGACCCGAGCTTGAGGAGGATGACACATACCACCCCACAAGGGGTGAGAAGATAGTTTTTTTTAGTTATGATATATATATGTATATATATATATATATATATATATATATATATATATATATACAATGTAAGGTTTTACAGCATTCTTTAAAACTTAAAAAAGTTAAGTACAAATCTGTAAGTAAACAAAAAAAAAAACATAAATTGCAAGTATTAATAATTGCATTGTTGCTATCCCAATCATCAGACATATGACAGACATCAGTGGCCTTGTGTCTAGCTTTCTGGGCAGGGAGCACTCAATCTATGTCAGCAGCCCGACAAGCTACGCATATCTCCATGACAGCCACAGAATATGATCTGCAATTCAACTGCTACCATGTCACTCCCGTCACTCGGACCCCATCCTAACGAGTACATATCAATTTGAAACTAGTCATTCACGGAGCAGCACAGCCTCCATTACTTAAACTAAAAATATATACATGCTCTTTTAACCACTGCAACAATTCATTTTGCTCCTATCTGGACATTTATCAATTGTGATGTTATGCTTTATTGGTTAAACATGATCTGACATCATCATGAAATAAGATATGGGCTCTGGATGCCTCGTTCAACAAACAGCATGACAGGTCTGCCATCCATAATGAACCAGAACAAAGGAGAAATCCCTGACATCACATATTAAGAAGTAAACAGCATTTCTTGTTTTGTATATCTGTCCACATTTATCTTACATATGTCTACTCTAGTATTCTGTGTTTTATTTGGAAATATACTACATCTAAATTGGAATCCATTTATTTTTGAAGAATCAATGTTTTATTATGTGTACATTGAAATCCAAATATTTAGATTAATAGGTTAATATTTAGTCTTAAACATTGCCAGGTAACTTAGCGGGCTGTACGTGGTTCCAAATGTACTTTGACTCTATTTTATATATATATAAACATATATATATATTTCATTTTTCTATAAGCTTAATCCAGTCCAGAAGACTGTTTTGGTGCTGACAACTGAAAAGAAAAGAGATGCCTGTATTTTAGGCTAACATATGAATATGAATGTGATATCACATCTAAAGAGATATATTATAATTTTTAAATAAAACTCTTGAATAGCGTCCTATACATTTTTCCAGGACATTACAACTTTTCCTATGCTCTTTTGTACTACTGTATATACACTCTTATTATATTTTGATCTTTAATGGTATCTTGTTTTAACTCTGCCCTTTGTACTCTATATAGGCTACTTGAACCAGAATTACCTTGAAGGAGTAATCCCAAGGGATAAATAAAGTTGAGTCTAAGTCTATAAAACAGCCCTTGGATTTAACACCAAATTATAGGCTGTGAATCAAATGCCACATCAAAAATCATTAACCACCTCTTAGCAATAAAGTTAATTCAACTGGTAAACCATATACCCTAAAATGCAGCTTAACATTCATAATCACCACATGCAAATACCTTCTAATAATATCAAAAAAGATGCAAATTGCAAAGTATTATTTTCTAACTTTGTGGGGCCTCTAGGACATGTTAGCATGGGTAGAAATCCATATTGACTGTATCACACACTGTCCATTAAGCAGTTGATGTGCTAACTCCTATACATAGTTGTCTTTTCTGTCTTCTTTTTGTAATAATCAAGTTTGTTTGGCCCTGGAGGCTGTATCTAACTGGTGACCTGAAAGGTTAAAGATGAAAGTAGAGCTCGTTATGATAAAACATGTACAGTGAAATAATTATCATATAGGTTTCATGAATGGAAGTTTAGGTGTCTTTAAGTATTCGTTATATTTGTATTAAAACATGATTATTTACAAAGTAGTTGGTGGTGTGTCCCCAATAAAATTCAAGAAGGAAACATCTATTGAAAAAAAAGCAACAATAGGGTTTTCAGTCAAAGTAAAGATTGTATTGCAGCGTTGGGGTTCACTTAAATCACTCGAATATCAACTTTTTTTTATTACTTGATTTTTATAATATTCTGGCTTAAAAATCTTTCTGATTTTTTTGATAACATAATTCGCAGGAAAGGACTATTAATGATTCACTGTCTCTTTTCACCGTCTCTATATAAATAATCATTGCTTTAACTCTACAATTTACTGTCCAATGCTGGTTTAAAGATTTGTGAAAGAGATTTTATACAAAACTAGAATGTTTTTTGAGGATAGAGTTGCTTTAAGACATTAGAGGTAATCTTTGATTGTGTTTCCTCCTAAATTAAACACTGTTTTTCTGTCTTTTGCTGACCTGATCAGAATTTAACTTTAAATAGCTTCTAAACAAAACAAAACTAAACTTTTGAACCATTCCTGCAAAATCAATTACACTGGAGTCTACAAAAATAAAATGTACTTTTAACCGCCAAGCTAAATGCATTTACAGTAAGTGCAATTAATAGCAGTTGTGTCTATTTATTATTGATGTAGTTTTGCCAGAG